CATGCAGGGAATCCAGCTTGGCACAGCTCCTGGGCACAGCAGGACCATGGAACTGGGTTTCTGCACAAAGTTTGGACAACTGGGCCAGCCAAAATAACTTTCTTTCCTTTGATGAGATTACAACTAGATAATAAAATTGGTATAATCACGTGGCTTGTTGCGTGGCAATTTAATTAAGAAACTGCCAGCGCGCAAAAAACCCAACACAGTGTACACTAAAATGATTAAAACCCAACCAGTGGCCTTCTGAAAAAGAGTTTAATGCAGACTAAGAGAAGTTGCAGCCATTTGGGCTGCCACAGTTCCTTCCTTCATCTCTCACCTGTGTCTCTGCTGGTGCTTGTGCTCCTCAGTGTGGAGTCCCTGGCCTTTGGCTGGGGAAGAGGAGCAGGAGAGAAAAGCTAAACTGCCCAAAAGCATAAAGCTGCCAGCACAGGAGGGAGCAAGGACTGATGAAGGGATATATGGGGAATAGGGAAATGAGATTATGTGCTAGCACAGCCTGAGGGAAGCTGCAGAGATAGTTGATTTGAGCCTGATGGCAGCAGACAGGAAGAAGGCTCTCACAAGCAAAGTGGTTTAGACTGCTGGATCAGCTGGAATCGTGGTGTAAAGAGGGAGCAGGACCATGGTGGGGTCTGAGCTCCTCAGCTGTGAGGGGACTCCTCTCCCAGACCCCAGAAGGGAAGAGCTGTGTGTGTCTGCGTAGCCTGGTGACCCCCAGACTGTAATACCTCAGATGATTCAGTCCTCCCCAGAGCCCTTGCTCCACCTTTAATTTCAGCATTCTTGTCCTTTTCCAGCCATGCGGCCAAATGCCAGAAAATCTGATTGTACCCTGCTTCTCCTATAAGGGGGGAGCTGGTTCCATGCAAGGCCAGGTTGGCTGGGCAGCATGGGGGGCTGGAATTGGATGATCTTTAAAGTCCATTCCAACGTCAAAAACTCCATATTTCTATGAAGAGATGCTTTGCTTTCTCAAGGCGTTAATGCAAATAAGAAAAAATAATTTTAACAACACATTTTGTTCTTGCTCAGGGTGGGAGGAGGGATGAGAAGCCCCTCCATCAAACAGGGGGATCAGGGCTGTGTCCCAAACCAGCTCCAGGTCCTGCCAGCTGCCACTGCTCCCACAGGGACCTCACTGCCTGCTCCAGGCACAGCGTGCTGCAAAACCCAATTTATGCAAAATCAAATTGCATTTCATCGCCCAATTTCGCTCTGCTCTGCCCTTTTTATGTTTTAGGGTTGAATTGCCAGAACTTTGCTGTCTCTGCCACGATCTTCTGTACTGGAGTAGATTTGATAGAGATAGAAATGATCCATTTATTTACTGTTATTGATGAGCCTTACAGTAGCAAATGAGCTTGCAATGCAGAACTCTGCAGCAGCTGTGTGAAAACAGACTGAGCTCCCTGCATAGTCAGGGCTGGTTTTCAAGCCTGCAGTATTAAACCAGACTTAGTGCCTTGAAAAGGTGCTATTCCCACTAGAGACAGGAAAGTGAGGATGCCTTGGGCAAAACACTTTGTACAAAAGAAATATTCAGGGGCACAGAAACCCCTTTATTTCACCCAAAATGAGGTTGTGGTGGCTGTTGGAGCCATGAGTGCTCATTCCATGTAAATCCTGTGGATTTACAGATGTGGCAAGGTCTTGTCTTTCCTAGAGCTTGTGAGATGGGTCAGAATGGGAGCTGGAGGTGCCCTCATCCCAGTTCATCCCAGTTCTCAGGCTCCTGTTTGTGGTTCTTCCACAGGTGCTCTTCCCACTAGAGACAGGAAAATGAGAATGCCTTTGGTGTAACACTTTATACAGCTACAAAAGAAATATTCAGGGGCATAGAAACCCCCTTATTGCACCCAAAATGAGGTTGTGGTGGCTGTTGGAGCACGAGGCAGCGTGCTCATTCCATGAGTGCTCATTCCATGTAAATCCTGTGGATTTACAGATGTGGCAAGGTCTTGTCTTTCCTGAAGCTTGTGAGATGGGTCAGAATGGGAGCTGGAGCTGCCCTAATCCCAGTTCCTCCCAGTTCCTCCCAGTTTTCTGGCTCCTGTTTGTGGTTACAGATGTGGCAAGGTCTTGTCTTTCCTAAAGCTTGTGGATGCAGTGAGATGGGTCAGAATGGGAGCTGGAGGTGCCCTCATCCCAGTTCATCCCAGTTTTCTGGCTCCTATTTGTGGTTCTTCCACAGGTGCTATTCCCACTAGAGACAGGAAAGTGAGGATGCCTTGGGCATAACACTTTGTATAAAAGAAATATTCAGGGGCACAGAAACCTCCTTATTGCACCCAAAATGAGGCTGTTCTGGTTGCTGGAGCCATGAGTGCTCATTCCATGTAAATCCTGTGGATTTACAGATGTGGCAAGGTCTTGTCTTTCCTAAAGCTTGTGGATGTGGTGAGATGAACTAATCCCAGTTCATCCCAGTTCCTCCCAGTTTTCTGGCTCCTGTTTGTGGTTCTTCCTCTGCCCCTCCCATGTGTCTGGCACTTGCCCTCCTTGCAGGGTTTCAGCAGGGAGAGGATAACAGATAGATTTACAGATGTGGCGAGGTTTTGTCTTTCCTAAAGCTTGTGGATGCTGTGATATGGGTCAGAATGGGAGCTGGATGTACCCTAATCCCAGTTCATCCCAGTTCCTCCCAGTTCATCCCAGTTTTCTGGCTCCTGTTTGTGGTTGTTCCTCTGCCCCTCCCATGTGTTTGGCACTTGCCCTCCTCGCAGGGTTTCAGCAGGGAGAGAGGATAACCCGCAGTGCTGTTTGTGAGCAGCACGCTCAGAATAATCACTGTGCTCCTGCCGTGCTCCTGCTGGGGTGTTGGGATGATAAATACACATGTAAATGTAGAAAATGCCAGAGATAAAGTGGATGACAAATGGGCTGTGCTTCCCCTGCTCTGCAGAGGGAAGGAGATGCTCAGCACATACACGCGGAGGCCAGGGATGATTTTAAGCTCCACTTTTATGATCACAAGATAATAAGGTTGCATAAGGAGCTGTGTAGTTTTAAATTATGCCAAACAGAAGTCATTCCTTTACCTTGGCTTTCACAAATCCAAACAGCTGCCCCAAGTGAGAGGTGTTGTACAGAAGTCTGAAGCTTTGCTGCCTTTTAACTCTGACACCTGGGCACCATTTATGGTCCAGCTGAGAACCATAAAAATGATTCCTCTTGGCATCCTTGCAGCTTGCACACACCCAGCAACCCCTCCCAGGTTTTTTGCCCCTCCAAACAGAGCAGGCTGTGGCTGTGTGAGCGTGGGCATGGTGACGTGCTGGATGGAGCCGGGCGAGGGAAGAGCCTCGTGACTCTGGGGAGGATGACTCGAGGGAGGCTGACTGCTCTGCAGGGTGCAACAAATCCAACTGAAAAACTCTGGCCACGCCGCCTTTTCAATGTATTTAACTGGCCCTGTGTGGTGCAAGGCTGAGCATCGCTTCAGGAGTGGCGTTGCACCTCTGTCCTGAGCATTTCAAACCTTATTTGTCATTTTATTTTGTCGTTTTCTAATTACGCAGTCGCTGTCTGGGCTGCTCATTTAATAGCTGGAGCTTTGGGGTTTCCTGCACTTAGCTCTGACCATGGAAGGTCACATTTGCCAAATGCAGCAGGAAGACAAGCTGGGGACAGATATTTGACATTATTTGTCTTGACTGATTTGCTCTGTGGAAAAAATTATTGCACAGTCACATTTCTGCATGCGAATACAAATATAGCTCCCTGCAAATTTAGCTCCAAGTTTATACCACAGGAAAAAGAATGTTCCAGAACATGCTAATGGTAATTTAATATTTTCAAATTGCAGCTCTGTGAGGTGGAATTATAACATTACAGTGCTGTTGTTCTCTGGGGCAGTAGGAAAGGGTGATTTAAAGGAAACATTTGCATGGTATCAGCTCCCCATGTGTCTGCTGCCCATATGCTGGGTGCAGTTATTTTGTGGCTGCAGGCTTTCCCCCCCTGCGTCTGCTGGAAGACAAGACCTGATGTAAGTCAGGCTTTTGAAGGTTTTTATGTTTGTGCTCCTGCTGTAGAAGCTTTAAAATCTTCCTTTAAGTCTTGCCAGTCCCGAGGATTTGCTTTGGCTGCTGCTGCTGGGGTCACCAGGGGAGCTCCTGTCTGTTCTGACCCTCACCTGCCCATGAGCTCCACCTGTGAAACCTGCTCATGTCTCCCTCACAGCAGATTTTTTGCCCTTTTAATGTTTTAGTACTCTAGAAGTGTAGGAGTTGTGGGTTTGGTCTGTGTGTGTGCCTGTGGTGGTGTCCCAGGATGAGGGAAGAGATGAGAATCTTGACTCCATGTTTCAGAAGGCTGATTTATTATTTTATGATATATATGATATTAAAAGAAAATGATATATCAAAACTATACTAAAAGAATAGGAGAAAGGATTTCATCAGAAGGCTTGAAAGGAATAGAAAGGAATGATAATAAAATCTTGTGACTGACCAGAGAGTCCAAGACAGCTGGACTGTGATTGGCCATTAATTAAAAACAACCACATGAGACCAATCCCAGATGCACCTGTTGCATTCCACAGCAGCAGATAATTACTGTTTTTCTTTTCCTCTGAGGCTTCTCAGGAGAAAAAATCCTAATGAAAGGATTTTTCATAAAATGTGTCTGTGACACCACAGGATGCTGTTGTGTCTCTGGCTCAAGCTCAGTAACCCCCATCCTTCAATCTGCCCCTCTATGGAAATGGTCTGGTAACAAATTCTGTCCTTCCCTGGCTGTCTGTGACTTGGAGAGGGGCCAGGGTGGGCCATTTCTTCATCCCACAGCTCATTCCAGCTGGGTGCAGAGCTCTGTGAACGTTCAGAGAAGCGCAAATGCTCCTCACCTGGATGGATCCCTCTGCCTTTCTCCCCCAGTGGTGGATATGCGTGTCAGGGGGATGTGAAATCTGGCTGTGGCTTGGTGTGGTGAGCCCAGCAGCAGAGCCTCTTGCTCCTTGTAACTTCATTTTTGGTTTTTTTTTTGCGTTCCAGAGTCGGAAGCATGCCAGCAAAGTCCGCCTGTACTACATGCTTCACCCCGTGGATGGAGGCTGCCCGGCCAAAAAGCTGCGCTCAGAAAATGTGGGTACAACCCCAGCCCTGTTTATTCAGTTTCTTTGTGCATCATTGACTCTGCCCTACAACATTCTCTCTTACAGCCACAGCTGATCAGGTGCCCAGAGGTAACATTTAGATTAGCTGAAATGCAAAGTAACTGGAAATAATTTTCAATAAACTGCACAAGAATTATTACGCGCCTCAGCAGCAGTAATTGTGTTTTTAGTTATTTGAATGTTCTTTCATAGGGAAAAATGTGCTGATAGCAAATACTCAGGGCTTGCTCCATTTCTTCCAATTCTTCCAGACCAGGCTGAGTGTGCTGGTGAGCGGCTGGGGCAGGTGATAGGGGCAATGCCTCCAGGTTGATGTGCTTCATCCAAAGGCTCCTCACTCACCTCTGCTCTCCGTCTGCAAGTTTAAAGATTTGCCATTGGCTTCCTCTGCTGTGTTCCAATAAACAAAGGGAGGTGAGGAATTGGACCAGCTCTCAGCCATTTGTCAGGCAGTAGATAGGAGGAGGCTGAATTTTTAAGAGATGGCTTCATGGGGAATTATTCATTTGGCTCCTTCCCACGTTCTGCTGCAGTGAGGTTCCCAAACCAGTTCAGTGGGACTGGGGCTGACTGCTGTTGATATTCAGTGTGATATCTTGTAATTAAAGGGAGAAGCATGCAAGTTTTGCCCAAGGAATCTGAAATCTCATTTACGTAGTAATTGAACCCTAGTGAACTTTTCTGTTGCACACAGAAAATTGAAACACAGTGAACTTTTCTGTTGCACACAGGCCAATTGCAGATTGCATCTGCCCTCCACAGCAGGACCTTGCAGTGATTTTATTAATAAGATAAAATAAAATATTTTATTGTGTATAGTACATAAATATAAAAATATATTATAAAATATATTTTATGTATATTTCTATATATTTATATATTTAAAATGTTATATATTAATTTATAGATTAATATATTTATGTTTTAAAATATTTCTATTTATATTTTTATTTATATATATAAATATATATGAATATATTTTAAAATATATTATTTTTATTGTCATTAATAACAGTGTGGGCACTACAATGGACAGGTACATGGAGATGGGGAACAAGGTCCTCTAAGGGGATTATGACTAACAAGGAGCCCCATACTGCGTGTGCACCTCAGCATGGGATATGAAGGACAGAGAACCAACGAGACCTCAAATAAGTCAAAGTTGAATTATTTCCCACTGTTTTTCTGAAAGGCAACGTAGAGAAGGAATGTAATTCTGTGTTTGCTGATGCTGTTCCCAAGGGCAGCCCTGGTGGGGGTGGATTAACGTGTCCTCATGTTCTAGGTGAATGCCAGGCTAGGCCAGACCTAAATGCTAAAATTATTTGTGTTGTAAAAATATAGCAGGGAAAATCTGCCAACATTTCCAGCTCAGAGTAGGCCTGTTGCTGATCAGATATTATACAAGCCTTTGCATTTGGAGAGAGCAGAACTATTTAGGATGTCTCTAATGCTGCACGATTGCATCCCTGCCATGTGAACATGCAGGGCAGTGCCCAATCCTGGCAGTGTCACTCAGGCCATGGCACAGAGACTTTAATGAGCATTAGAAACAACCCATGAAAACCAATTAAATTTCTGTAGAAGTAGCTGCAGCTAAAAAGGGAATATTAGCCTTTTTTTTTCATCAAAACTGTTCCATGGCTGAGTGCCATTGGGTTTGTGCTCTGCTGACCACAGAACTAACACCTTGTCCTTCTGCCAGGTGGCAGCAGGAGGGTGAGGTGGCTGCAGCTGTGGGTACTCAGTGCAATGGGATTGGAAACAGAATTTGCTTCCTGACCTTTCTGTGAGGCCAAGGGAGGGGTTGGCTGCTGTTTGAGGATTGCAAAAAAACCCCATTTCCAAAACACCCCTGAAGTAGAAGCTTTATATAAGTAGTCTTCCCATGTATTACTCAATTGTTTTGTTCTTTATTATTGGTTTGATTTGGTGTGGAGGAGGGGAAAACCCTCATGTCTTGACCTTCCATGAGCTGGTACTTGCTTTTTGCTGGTACCATGACAAAAACAGGCTCCAGAACAGAAATGACCTGAATTTCCTATGGAGCAGCACAGAAAGCAGCTCTTTACAGCAGCACCAAAAATTAATTCAAATTTCAAAGTTACTTTGCAGCACTTTAATGCTGTGGTTTATGCTGCTCTGTTCTAGGGTTTGTATAATCTTTTCTTCTTAGTAAAACTTGGGAAATGAAGACAGCAGATTTGTATCTGTGGAATGAAAATCCTTACTTTTCCTGTGGATTGCTTAAGGAATGGCCTGTGTGAGGATTATGCCTTGTTAACAGGCAGCCAAATAACTGAGGTTAATTCTGTTGGATATATGAGGCTGAAGTTTCTAATATCACAAAAAGCAGCCTAATAAATGAGGCTGGAGCTGGGGAAGAGTGGGGATGTCAGTGCTGGGAGACAGATGCTGGGAGACAGATGTAAATCCAGTGCTGTGTTCTGTTGTATTTCAGTTTGTATGAAGCCAGTGGCTTCTGTGCTGCCTTGTAGTGAAGGTTTGTGAGGTGGGATGGGCTGGAGGAAGCTGCAGAAGCAGAATGTAGAAATATCCCTTGGCAGCAGGGGGTTAAGGAGCTGCTGGTGGATTTACAGACCAGAGCTATCAGTGCCTGGTCACTCTTTCATTCCTGGGAGTGTTTTGTATTTGCAGGGACCCCCATGGCAGGAGGAATGATGAATCTGACTCCATGTTCTCAGAAAGCTATTTTCTTATTTTATGATACTGTATTATATTAAAGAATACTAAACTAAAGTAAAGAATACAGAATATATACTTACACAATGCTAAAAAGATAGTGATGAAAACTTGTGACTCTTTCCAAAGTCCCAACACAGCTTGGCACTTATTGGCCAAAGTAAAAACAACCAGAATCCAATGACGCAATCACCTGTAGTAAATAATCTCCAAACCCATTCCAAAGCAGCAAAACACAGGAGAAGCAAATGAGATAATTATTGTTTTCCTTTTTCTCTGAGGCTTCTAAACTTCCCAGCAGAAAAATCCTGGGTGAAGGGATTTTTTCAGAGAATGTGAATGCCACAGGAGTGGGCTGTGGTGCAGAACACCCCCAGGGAGCATCCAGCTGCCCCTTGTGTGGTCCAGCTGAGCCCTGTGCTTGCAGCACCTGCACAGCCCTGGGTGTCTTTTGTCACCATGTCATTCAGCAGGTGACAAAAGACACCCGGATCAGCTTCCCCCTGCCCTCTTGGGTTTCAGGTAAAACAGCCCCTGACAAATGAGAAGGCATAATTACCCTTCAGGGCTGCAGCACCTCTGGCTCTGTGCAGGGCTTTGGGTGGTGGAGGAGGGAAGGGAAGTGATGCTGCTGAGGGATGATCCACACCTGGAGAAATTCTTAACAGAGCCCAAATACCTCGTGTTGGTGTATAAAACTGCTCTAAAAATAAAACCTCTGCATCATAGAGGTCTGGCATGGTTTGGGGACACCCCTGTCCTGCTGGTGGCTGCCACACATGGAGGTGCTGGCCCAGAAACATGGGTGAAGCCAGGTGAGCTGCACAGCCAGCTGCGGGTCAGTGTAAATGGGACCCTGAGCTCTGCGTGAGCTATTGGAAGACTCTTTGAGGGGGCTTTAATTTTTTATTTTTAATTGCAGTCTAGCTGAGAAAGTAGGTTGAAAAGGGAAAAGTGTCACTGAAGAGCAGCCCTGGCAGAGGAAGAGACCCTGGTGCATTAACACTGAAGTGTATCAGCTTCTCAAAGGAGCTCTGTTGGAGGCTCTTTATGTGTTGCCACTGATGATCAATAGATACTGGAAATTTTCTACTCTGCTCTTAACTTTCAAGTGATTTCCCTTTGAAGGCATAAAATACCTTGAGAGAAAGCTATTTAAAAGAAGTGCAAATTACACTCAGAACAGTACTAAACACCTCTTGAGATTCCTCCCTAAGGTTTGATTTACAGTTATCAACAACAAAAAAGTGATGAAAATCACTCACTTTTCTAAAACTGGATTTTTTGGGGGCGAAAAAATGACCTTCAGTGGTGGGTCAGGTGTCCACTCTGTGTTGGGTTCACCCAATGCTGGTATTGGATTCTGCTGGAGGGACGTGAGAGCTTTCAGACAGTTCATTTATTTCTCCCACCTGCAGAGTGGGCTGCGGCCTCCAGATGTGTCCCCCCAGATGTTTTGGGGTCTCTTCAAAAAGTGCATGAGGAGGAAGCACCGGTGTTGGGTGGCAGGGAAAGCTCTGGGTCTGTGTGACTCCCTTAGCGAGAGGAGGAGCAGAGGATGAGGGAAGGGAGGCTCGGGGTGTGCCAGGAGCTCCGGGGCCATGTGGGACACGGGGACAGGCTGAGGGACATGGGGACAGGATGGGGGACAGGCTGAGGGACATGGGGACAGGCTGAGGGACATGGGGACAGGATGGGGGACAGGCTGAGGGACACAGGGACAGGCTGAGAGACATGAGGACAGGCTGAGGGACACAGGGATAGACTGAGGGATGGGCTGAAGGACACAAGGACAGGCTGAGGGACATAGGAACAGGATGAAGGACACAAGGACAGGCTGAGGGACATGGGGACAGGCTGAGGGACATAGGAACAGGATGAAGGACACAGGGACAGGCTGAGCTCACAGTGCACACCAGAGTGGAGGTGCTGGCCAGCTGGAGGTGTCCCCAAGCTGGACACAGCTGGGATGAAGCACAAGCAAGGCTGAGAGAGATGAGGAAGGGAAACCCCTTGGCATGACAACCTCGATTCTTCCCTCCTATTCCTCTCTCCTCTCTCTGTGGCTGTGCTCACACACCTCTTTGTTTTGTCTGCGTTTTTGTCTCCACGCAGGGCAGTGATGGTGACTCAGTGGATAAGAACAAATGCTGCACACTATGTAACATGTCCTTTACCTCAGCAGTGGTGGCAGAATCGCATTACCAAGGGAAAATCCATGCCAAAAGGTTAAAACTGTTGCTAGGGGAACAACCAGCACTGAAGGCCACAGGTAGGTGCAGAGAGTGTGGGGGCTTGGCCAAGGGGCTGACTGGGTATGTGCAGGCAGAAAATGGGAACAAGGTGGCAAGCTAAGCTGGCAGAAGAAGCTATTCATTTGTGTTGCTGTCATAACAACCTTTACAAACTTCTGATATTACTGTCTGCTTTTTGTGCAGATTAGGGGTTTATCAGCTGGGACTGGCCCTGGTGCCAGAGCCCTATCTCCAGCTCCACACTTCCGAAGTGTTTTCTCAGTGGAGGACAGTGTCTCCACTGGGTGCAGATAGCCAAGCCTGGTTTTAATTATCAGCAGTTTAATTATCAGCCCAGCTAATATGTTTAATAAACCTTTGGTGTTACTGTACAGTACAGAGCATCATCTGCTCTTACCACAGAGGGAAAGCCAGGCTTTAAAAACCCTTTAAAAACTCTTGGATTGATTGTCTCTTGATTTTTGCCCAGATGGGTTTTGTGCTTTCCTCCACAGTGATTCTAGTAATGCAGCCTATTAACTTTCACATTTAAAAAGTCAAATGTTGAAATTGGACAATTTAGCCATCTTATTGTTTGCTTAACCATAAAGTCCTTGAAAACCACTAATAATCTGTGAAAAAAAAATTCCTCTGTGGTTGTGGGAGCAGAAAATGCTTGAACAAATCACTCACCTTCCTCCAGGAAGGATTGCTGGGCTGAGGTCCTGCAGACAGACAGATGTGACCCAGAATTGCTGCCAGTGGCACTTCCTTCAGCACAAAATACAAATGGAGCTGTGTGTGCTGTAGATGTGATTAGATAACCAGGGTTGACACTCTGTGTGTGTGGTTTTGTTGCCTTTTTTAACTTCACAGGCTGTAGATGGTGATACAGAGAGTGTGATTTGTCCTTTGCCAGGGTGGGCTTGGGAGCTGCTGGCCCCTTTGCCTGAGGGAATGTGGGGAATTTTGTTAGGTGGTGGTTTGGTGGGTTAAACCATGCTGGGGCACCAGTGTGTCTTGTGGAGGAGAAGGTAAAGCCATGGCAGCTAGGAGGAAGGCTATCACTGATCTGTCATGGTCATCCACACCTGGTTCATGTGGGGCTCCTGCAGTTGGCACACAGTTGGCACACAGCTGGCACACAGCTGGCACACAGCGACTCAGGCTTGGTGTTTGTGTGTCAGGGTATTGCAGACTTCTTTTCATTAAAAATCCTTTCCTTAGGATTTTTTCCTCCTGAGAAGCTGAGAGGCCTCAGGAACAAAATTTAAAGAATGGTTATCTGCTGCTGTGGAATGCAACAGGCAGATCTTTGATTGGCCCATGTTGGAGGTTTCTAATTAATGTCCAGTCACAGTCAGCTGGCTCAGACAGAGAGTCCAAACCACAAACCTTTGTTATCATTCCTTTCTATTCTTAGCTTAGCCAGCCTTCTGAGATGAAACCTTTTCTTCTATTCTTTTAGTATAGTTTTAATGTAATATATATCATAAAATACTAAATCAAGCCTTCTGAAACATGGAGTCAGATCTACATCTCTTCCGTCATCTTAAGACCCCTGTGACCACCCTTACATCAGGGCTTGCTGGATCCCCATCCCTCAGGTTCAGCCTGCCAGCAGCTCCTCCCCTGGCACCACAGGACCTGCCACAAGCCCTGGCACCCCCAGGGAGCTCCAGGTGAGCTGATGTTCACAGCAGTGCTGATCCTGTGTTACACTGACAATTTGGATTCACCCTTCAGCTGCAGATCCTGGCCAAGGCAGGCATTGCTAAGAGCTGCAGCCTTGCATTGTGGCTTTTGTCTCACTTTTTAATCATCTGGATCAGCCTCACAAGGCTCTAAGTGAGCCATGCTGCCGGCTCTGGGGTAATGGGCTCTTCAGCCGCCCTAATCACTGGGAAGGAGCGGCTCAAGGACTCATCAGCTCTTACAGACACTTGATCTGGAAGATGAAGCTGAGCTCAGGAATACATTAATAAGCACCTCATTGCTCTCCAGGAGTTCTCAGCAATATGCCCTTTGGACACAGCATTTTTCTGGGCTTCCTACCCAGCAATTTTCACTGGGTTTTTGTCCCAGTGCTCTGTGGCTGGCACTAGGGAGCATTAAGTCTCTCAGAGCAGAGACTCCACTGCTCATGAGTCCTGAGAGCCAGCCAAGCACAGCCCTGAGCGTGCTGGATGCTCCTGGGGAGGAGATTCTGCTGCTGGATATTCTGGGGTTTCTGTCTCATCAATCCCAAAGAAAATCACATCTATTCTTAGACCCCTTAGGGAGATCCATGTTCTCCTTCACAGTTACCATCCAGATGGAGCACAGATGTCCTGTTCTCTGCTGGTGCTTTCAGGAGAAGAAGTGGCCCAACAGTTGGGTTTCTCACAAAAACCATGTCTCATCATGACAGAGAAATAGTTGTGATCTTTCCTGTTCTCTGCTCTACAAGGCTGCAGCCTTCAGAGGCTTCATGTCAGCACTATTGCAGATGAATTCCTCCAGTCATTTCCAGCATCCCCTGTCAGTTTACATCCCATCATCACCATGAGTTATAAACCAAAGGATTGTGGGGAAGACCTGCTGTCCTCATCATCCAAGTGTGAGGACCTGCAGGCATCATTCCAGGAAAGTGGCGGTGGCCCTGCCTCTTGGAAAGTCACATTGTGATAATCAAGACATAGGCACGCATTTTAAGTGGAATTCCATTGTTTTCAATAGGCTTTAAATCAAGGCCATTTTGAGAGGACAACTTGAGTGACATGGAAGATATTAAAAAGGGTCAGAGGTGGAGATAAAAGGGAACTCTTCTCCATTCCAAAGCTTTGCAACTTTTCATAAATTACAGAGGGTAAAGACTTTGGGACATCAAAAGGGACTGAGCAAATGGCTTTTTGTTTTGGTGCTAGGATCTCCAGCAGTGGCTGGAGTTTTAGTCCTGGATTTCTGGGATTTCTTCTGGAAAAAAACTGAGTTTCCCAGAGCCTCCTTGTTGTGGCTCACTTAGTTTCTTGTCCTCAAGCTGAGTTTCTGGAGTGTGCCAATGGAAGAAGTTGGGTGCCATTTAAATCCAGCTTGGAATAAAAAGCTTTGGATGTGAGAAAGAAGTCAAACATTAGTTCATTGCCGGAGTGCTAAAGTGTTTCTAACTTTGTATTTTGCCTCTTGCAGCAAAGTAAGACTTTCTCACTTCCCTCCCACAGCGAAAGGGAACGTAAGGCAGACTGTCATGAGCTATTTAGCATTTTGAAATACTTGAAATAGTCAAACTCGCAGCTTTTATGTTTGTGTTTTAGATGGAGAAACATTTTTAACTTTTGACGTTTCGTGAGTGTTTATTATTAATTTTCATGTCGCTGCTCAGGGAATGATGGCATTTGCTGTTCTGCAGCAGTTATGTAGTGCATATCAAAATGATAAATTCACATTTGTGGAGAAGTCAACTTTCATCTGCTTCTCTCTGGGAGAATTTGGTAGGCTTGGGATGCTTTCATTAATTGCCAGGCTGGGCTCAGCACACCTTAGGACTGCTGGGGGTTGTCAGTGGGACCTGAGGAATGTGAATTCAAAGAAAATATTTTGGCATTTTGTGAGTGCTGAGAGGAAATCCTTGCCCATGGCAGCCCCCATGTGATGCAGGGACTCTGCTGTGGAGCTGTAGCCTGTGGTCCCATGGGAGCCAGCTCTGGATGAAGGCTGGGGTGGGCATGGGGGGCTCTGCTGCCATCCGCTGCAGCAGCAGTGCCAAACTCCTGCATGGAGTTTGGGGGAGCACAACCCACCAGCCTCATGGAGAGGGGCTCAGAGGCACAGCCAGAGGCTGGGAGCAGAGATGCTCCTGTCAGGTTTCCTTAGCGAGCAGGAGCTGTAACTCCTGTGGACATCACCAGCTCCCTGAGCTTCAGCCTGCCTGGTCCCCTTCGGGCAGCAGCGTGCATAGAAACAAGGAGAGAGCTGGCCAAAAGATTGGATAGATTTAACTTTATAGCCTGGGGCTTGTGGAACAGCAAGTCAGATCTGCCGCAGAGCTCCTGAAATTGCTGGTTGTTTATAATGCTCCAAACTTCTCTGCAGCTCAGTCTGGCTCCCTGGACTCACCAGGGCTGTTCCAAGTCCCTGTGGCATCACTGGGCTCTGGGCATGGACCCCTTTATGCAGGAACATCAGGAACACATCAGCAAGTAGCCAGCTGTGCTTGCTTCTCATGAGTCAAGCAGGTGCAAAGTCTATGTGACCCCAGTTTGACCAGGAAATACTGCAATTCCCCAATTTTCTTCCTAATGAGTGTACTGCCAGCTGGCTTTGCCCCTTGCTCACCCTGGCAGTTCTGTTACATGCACCTTGGAGTGACTGGGCCATGTCTCTCCCTGCTGGAACCATAGAAAAGACTTTTTTTTAGGAGCAAAATCCAGCCAGACCCTGCCTGGAGCAGCTCTTGAGAGGCAGCATCATCACTGCTGGAACTCTGATACCTTGGCAGTCATCATCAAAAACAATAGAAGGTTATAAACCCCTGGAAGTTGATAAGGTTGTAAGTAATGTTATATGTAAGATAGAATTTCCTTGGAGGTGTCCCTTACTGAGCAGGTCAGCAGAAGATTTATAACAATATTAACTTTCTCAAGGCAAGGAGTCAATCACAGTGGGCTCCAGGCATAATTATGTGTCTAAATATATCCCTGAGTTGCTGTTCCTGGTGTCAGGCACTGAGGTGGGTTTGGCATTTGCTGCCCTGTGCACTCATCAGGGCTCAGCTGGATCATCTCCTGATCAAAGACAGCCACCACACACCTCCAAATGTGCCTATTCCAGTACCATGGAGAGAGCAGGTTGTTAATTATTTAAAGAGCAGACATTTCATCTGGAAAAGAAAGGAAGAGGAAAGCCACATAAAAGGGAATTTTTGAATGAAGTGTGATAATTAAGTGCTAGTCATTGTATATTTTTGTATCCCAGTGTTACCTGAACTTCATTTTACTTCAAACTCTTTTTTTTCCCATGGGTTTGTGACTTGTATTGTACAAACTTGGGAAACTCTGTTGAACAAAGTGCATTCCATTATATAAAGAATAATCACTCACTTTTCTTTGGCATGATTTGGGGGTCATATTTGTGTTCCTGAATGTGTTGATGAATCTGAAGGAAAATAGAATTAAATTAAAGTTGTGTGTTGCTGGTGCCTGACAATTCACAATGTGAAGGTCTTTGAAGGATGGGACTGACTGTTATTTTTTTCATCTGTGACAGTTTGCAATGACTGTGGCTTTCCCATTCTTTCTGAGACCAAGTAAATTGAAAAATAAGAATCCTGAGATAATGATAAATATGTCTCTCTGTCCTGAGAAGGAGATGGCTCTGCATGGTGTATTTATTCTCCACTGATGATTTTTCCTGGGAGTAGCAATTGAAGCAGGATAAGTTTAGCAAATTTAGTCAGAACAGTGATAAGACGTGTAATTGCACTGAGAGCATCCTCCTTCCCAGTTAGTGAAATGCAGAAAGCTGAGGAACAGTCCTGGGCTGTCCTTTCATGATGCTTTTTTAATGAGAAGTGGTAGCTTTCCAAGCAGCATGTCTTGGTCTGGAAAGACAGGTGCCTGCTAAGGAAAGCAGGAGCCTCCCCTGAAATGGAGAAAATGAACCCCCCCCCTCCAAATTGCTAAAAATTCTGAATTAAGGGGCTCTCAGGCAAAAAAAAAATGGGAGCAGGAAATAACAGTTCTTTAGTAGGGAAGAAAATAAAAGGATAAAATAAACAATGCAGTGAACTAAACCAACACTGACAGAGTCAGAACCCAACCTGACACCCTGTGGGTCAGGGTGTTGGCAGCAGTCCCATTGGAATTGTGGCTGCAGCCCTCCTGGAGTAGATGATCCTGTAGAGAAGGGTGTAGTCTTCCTCTGACTGCTGTTCCTCTCGGGAATCCAGTGGAGAAGCCGTGCTGGTGTTCCAGAATCCCCAGATTATATCCAGGCAGGAATGCTTGGCTGGTGTTCCAGAATCTCCAGATTATATCCAGGCAGGAATGCTTGGCTGGTGCTCCACAATCTCCAGATTATATCCAGGCAGGAATGCTTGGCTCCTCCCTCAGGGCTCACATCTCCCAGTGGGATGCTGTAGTTCTTACCAGCCGTGCTGTGACATTCAATGGCCTCTTATCAGCAGATGTCTCCCCTAAGGGAGGATTGGGCGTGGAAGAGATAAGGAAAACTGCCCATTTGACAAAAGACATACAGATGGTAATAAATACATCTTGCCTTGCAATCTGGAACACAACACCATCCAAAATATCCACAGGGACTCTGTAACTGCAGCTAACTATTCCCTGTGTCTGCTGTGGGATCTGCCTCAGGCTCTGGCGCTCCTCAGGAGCCCAGCAGAGCTGACGTGTTGTGGTGTTCACAGGGGTCTTAGGAAGGGAAGAGACAAGGATCTGACTCTGTGTTTCAGAAGGCTTGATTTATTATTTTATGATATATATTATATGAAAACTATACTAAAATAATAGAAGAAAGGATTTCATCAGAAGGCTGGCTAAGAATAGAAAAATAATGAATAAAAAAGGCTTGTGACTGACCGAGACAGTCCAGACAGCTTGACCGAGATTGGCCATTAATTAGAAACAACCACATGAGACCAATCACAGATGCACCTGTTGCATTCCACAGCAGCAGATAACCATTGTTTACAATTTTGTTCCTGAGGCCTCCCAGCTTCTCAGGAGGAAAAATCCTAAGGAAAAGATTTTTCAGAGAATATGAAGGCTACACTGACGTGTCCCCTTTGCCTGTTGCAGAGGCTGCTCTGGGTCCCCTGAAGCCGGCGCATACGGAGAGCACCGCGGCCGTACCGCCGCCGCCGCAGCGCCGGGACTCGGACAGGTACTGCCAGCTCTGCACAGCCTGGTTCAACAACCCCCTGATGGCACAGCAGCACTACGAGGGCAAAAAGCACAAGAAGAACGCGGCCAGGGCCGACCTCCTGGAGCAGCTGGGGAAGACCTTGGACCTGGGGGAGCTGCGAGGTGAGGAGCTGGTGATGGAGAGGTGCGGTTTGATTCAGTCCAGGAATGAATCCTGACAAGTACCTGTGATGGTGTTCACAGGGGTTCTTGGATTGAGGAAGAGATGAGGATCTGACTCCGTGTTTCAGAAGGCTTGATTTAGTATTTTATGATATATATTACATTAAAACTATAGTAAGAGAATAGAAGAAAAGGTTTCATCAGAAGGCTAGCTAAGAATAGAAAAAGGAATGATAACAAAGGTTTGTGGCTCGGGCTCTGTGTCCGAGCCAGCTGACTGTGATTGGCCATTAATTAGAAACAACCACATGAGACCAATCACAGATGCACCTGTTGCATTCCACAGCAGCAGATAACCATTGTTTACATTTTGTTCCTGAGGCCTCCCAGCTTCTCAGGAGGAAAAATCCTAAGGAAAGGATTTTCCATAAAAGATGTCTGCAACAAGTGCCTGCTTGCTCTGGGCTGTAGGCACAGGGTCACAATCCTGTGTGCACACAGGGACTGACTCAGGCAGCTGAGGGAAAAGGACAAGGTTGATTCAGAGCCATGTGCAAGAGCTTTGGTTTGCCAGTGAGGCTTTGCAATAACAGTTTGATACACCTGGGTCTTCCTCCTTGCTAAATGAAATAATTTTTCTTTAGGTGCTAATGACTGTACAGTATATTGTGCATTTCTTGGTCTCCCATAAACCCTGTAATGGTTATCTTGATCCTCCTGTGCTACCTAGTGTGAGTCACAGTGCCATCAATGATTCATGGTGGCTGAGTCACTGCCCGCTGCTGGAAATATGTGGGAATAAAAACCTGGGACAATAATGTGGAAGTGCTCAGTACTTTGAGCTGTGCCAAGCTCAGGAGCGGCTGAGGAATGTCATTAGGTGTAAATAAATCAATTGGGAAGTGTTTTATTCATTTAGCTCCTGGGAAAGTTGAAATTGGAGACCCTCCCTCCCTTGCATTTAGCCGCAAGATCAGAGCAGATGTTGACAGGTGTGCAAAGCAGTCCCTGCAGTGGCCACCACACCATGTTACCCAGCCTCACCTGGCCAGGTGACATCATTTCTGCCTACAGGGCAGCAGTGGCAGAAGGACATGTGCTGGGGACACCATCCCCATACTCTCCCTGCTCCACACTGTCTTTGCTGCCTCAGTTTTCCCTGGATTGCAAAGTCATCTCCTTCCTCTGCATCCCCGGTGGCTTCTCCCATCACAATTTAAATATTAATTCTATTTTGACTAGTGTGGGAGATGAACATTTGATGCATTGTGTGAGCCTGGAATAGGCAGTGTCAGTTGAAGTACAACATTTCAGCAGCCTTTGATGTTTTGATAATGGCTGTAATAAAATATTTATTGATAAACATGAGTGTATATTTAGAGAAATAAGAATAGAGATATATTTTTGGACCATTGATATTTATAGGAAACAAAAACATTGATTCTTGTCACCAAGTGCTCATCCTGCAATTTTGAAGTCCTATTTTCTTCTCAGAAATAAGAATGAGGAGAGGGGGAAAAAAAAGGGAGAAATGAGCATTGTTTCTGCAGTCTGTGTTGAGTTAAAGCTGCAGCACAGGGCACACAGATCCCTTTTCCCTGGCTGGATGGGGTGCAGGGTCCAGCCCACCCTCAGAGCAGTTCTGTGGGGCTTTCCAGCTGTGGCACAGCTGCTTTGGGACCCACCCAGCTGTGTGGCTGACCTGGAACCCCTGAAAGAGGAAGGAACTGGGAGTTTTCTTCCTGCACAGCTGCCTCCCCTGCCCCTTTTGTCATAGGAAGACAAAACCTGGTGGGTTCCAACCCCCAGATTCCACAGCTCAAAGTGGCCATGGCTCAGGTGGAGGCAGCCGGGGGCTCCATCTGACAGCTCTCACCCTCCCCAGCCTGTCCCAGGCACAGGAGGAATGTTAAATTTCCTCCATCAATTCACATCTCACCATATCTGGTGTCCCCTATGGCCCAGCCCTCCTGTTCCCTGTCCCAGGCAGGTGGGCTCTGCAGGGGCAGCTGGTTTGGAAGGTTCTGGGGCCACCCAAACCCTGCAACAGGTGCTCTGAATCCCTAAAATAAATCCCAAAAATAAATCTGAATCCCTAAAAAAAACCCTGCAGCCAAACCCTGCAACAGGTGCTCCGAATCCCTAAAATAAATCTGAATCCTTAAAAAACCCTGCAACAGGTGCTCTGAATCCCTAAAATAAAACACAGCAGCCTCTGCAGGACAGATGGACAAGGGCACAGAGATGATGTCACTTGGAACCTTTGTGTTCTCAGGTGAATTGGTGGTGCTGCAGATGCACCAGCATCAGGCAATGAGCTGTGTTGCCTTTTTCATCCCAGCTCATAATTTCTTTGTATGCCTTATAAATACCTCTCATTCTGTGCTGTCACTTGTGGTTAGTAAGAAGCAGCTTAACAAGAACTCCCCTGGAATGGGTTTTAATTCATTTCATGCAGGACGACATTAATAACTCGACTTGTTAATATTTTATTTAATGGGGATAGGAGGACATTCAATTTTACATGAATGCATGTCACGCTGCAGGGGAGGCAGTGCTGGTGTGTCTGGAGGATGCAGGAGGGGATGTGAACACAGCCAGAGTCCAGAGCTCCCAGTATGGACTGGTCAGGCTGGGACACCTCATGGCCTGCAGGGCTGAGCTCAGCACTGCTTGGGGAGTTTATAAAACCAGTTTCAGCCAAGTAGCAGCTTTGATGAGCTCCAGTGAGCTCAAGTTGTGGTAATTTTTATATTCTGGAAGTGATTGTTGCCTGTGGTCTCATCCTGCTGTTCATTTCAGGCTGGTTTCCTCCTCCATCTCCATCCCAGTTCATGGGATCTGCCCAGTTTGGGGCTGCATCTTCCAGCCTGTGGGAAGAGCAGGGACCAGCACTGATTCCACAGGGAGGGGGAGCAGGGTTCCCCCTGGTTCATCTCTGTGAGTAGCCTTGACATGCTGAGGGAGAAAATCATCCCCACTTAGGAGCTGCTTTGCTGAAGGCGTTCCCACCTACACCAGTAATTAACATTCACTGAGGCTGCTCTTAACGTGCTGCTAAATTGGCTGAGCAGCAGAACCTTATTACCTTAAATTAAAGAATTACCTGTTTCTTAGTTCTCCAGTCCCACTCTGATGTGGAGATCCTGGTGGGCTCCAAGTTCTGAGGCTGCTGCAATGTGCTGACACCATTCCTGCCCTTCCCATTCCTTCTCCTCCATTCTGGGAGATTCATGTGTCTTCTGATGCCTGTTGGTTGAATAAAGGAAAATAGGAGCTGCCAACAGGACAAAGGGCATGACTGTAAAATCATCACTTCTTCATCAAGAATAAATTCAGTGAGGAGAAAAATCCATATGCACATTTGCAAATCGATTTTTTTGTTCTGTGCCACGTCGTGACACAGAAATATAGAAACTACTTAAATACCTCTGCAGTTGCTGGCTTGTTGTTTTCAAGCACTCATCTGAATGATTTTGGAATATTATTTAAAGATGATTTTCATGTTGTGCCAAATTCCTGGGTGGGAGATATTATGAGAAAAGTGGGGCTGTTGGTGTAGCTGTGCCTAGAGTGCAGAACAAGACAAGGGATTTTTTGAGATCCAAAAAAGGCAGGTCCAGCTGGGGAGGAGTCACTGTGTTTATTACCTGTGCAGTTAATTATGGTGAGCATGGACTGATGGAATTTGACAATGCCACGCTTTATTTGTTCTGAATGAGTCGTTCTAACAATTTTGGCAAAGAAATAATACTGTAGAAAGCCAGAAGAGACTATTGCAAGAAACATTAGGAGTGTTGCTGAGGAGCACAGCAATCCCTGCTAGGATCCTCCAGTGTTTTCAAGCAGAGCCCTTGTTCTGCAGCCAGGAGAGAGCCCAGCAGGTGAGAGAGCTCCTGCTTTGGCTTTTTGGGGCTGCCAGCCTTGACCTTCAGCCAGAGGCTGTGGGAGAGCAGAGTCTGTGCTTGGCTGGTTCACTGTGGTGGATAAATCAGAGTGGATCCCTCTGGGGAAAAGAGAGCTCCTAAGTGATCTGGCTGCTGGATGTGCTAACAGGGAATTGCTCTGAATTATGATCACTACCAAAAAGCAGAGGGATAAATGGTGCCTGGAGTTCTTTTTAAGTGTGAGCACAGTGATGGTGCCCTGAGGAGGGCACAGGAGAGATTCACCACTCTCTCAGGAGGGATGAGCCTTTGAACCTGGCTTTTTTCTGCTCACTTCTAAAAATACTCCTTTAGGTTTCTCTAATGCTTGGTTAGCCTGGCCTGGAAAAGTCAACAGAGGGGTCACTGTAAAGAGAAATGTCTGTGAAAATGGAAATGAAATGTGGGCTCCAAGTACCTTCTAATTAACTAGAAGTTTGCTTGGACCACAGGTTACTGCTTTTTTTTTTCCATTTCTCCCTGTTTCTTCAGTAATCTTCACTTACTTGTACTTCCTAGCTGCCATTTTGAGCAGTCTGTAACCCAGAGTGTTTCCCCCTGGTGCAGGCCCTGCTCCCCTGAGCCTCACCACATGGCACAGGTGTAGCCAAGGCTGAATTAATTAACAATTAATTAATTTTTGGTTTTCTTCACAGGCCTGAAGCGCAGCTACACCTGCAACATCTGCAACGTCACCCTGAACTCCATAGAGCAGTACCATGCACACCTGAAGGGCTCCAAACACCAGACCAAGTGAGTGTCCCTGTGCTTCTCTCTCCCAGTGGGCTGCAGTCAGTCGGTCTGTCTGTCTGTCTGTCTGTCTGTCTGTCAGGTTGGAGTGCTCTGGGACAGTGCTTTGCCCTCCACTCCCTCAGCAGAGGAGCACTGGGGGCTGTGCTAACCCAGGTACCAGAGGCACCTCCAGGTGGAGGAATGCAGGGCTGTTGCATTGTGATTTCAGGGTTTACCTCAGAACCTTGGGTCCTTCCCCTGATAATTCCCTCCCAGGTGTGTCAGTCACCTCTCCTTTCCCCTCCCAGCACTGTCTGTCAGTCCTGGAATTCCAGAAGGGCATCGAGTGTCTGTGGGGTGAAACACCACACACCCACAGCCAAAAGTGTCTGTGGGGTGAAACACCACAGTTGCCACTATTTGCTTCAGCACCAAGGGCCAGACAAGCTCAGGCACATCCCATCCAGCCATATTGATAATATTCCAATACAGAGCTGAACTTACATGGGTTTGCTGGAGTCCCAGTGACTTGTGGATAATGATACTGAGTTTGCAGCTTCTTTCATGTGTGGAACCTCAGAAGACACACCATGAGCCTAAGGTGTTTCCCAGTGAAACAGGTTTTTTTTGCTGTGATTTAGACTAATTATGCATTACCCAGCTATGAGAACTGGGAGGAGTCTGCTCTGTCAATTACCACAAATTATTAAAATGAAGTGATGGAGAAACATGATACCAGAGACTAGATTAATGAACTAATTGCTCTTAATGCACTTATATGTGAGCTTTGGGAGCCATTTGAGGCTGAATCACTTGGAACTGCCCAGATTAGGAGAGGAATATAAAGGGATATACCTGAAGTGCTTCAGGTAGCTTTGAGGGTACTCAGAAAAGTGAGGAGGATGAGCAGAAGTAGCAATGACTGCTAATGGCTCATTTTGCTTAAGCCAGCAAAAGGATGAAGCCAGCCTTTCCCCAGCTGATGAAGGTTCCTGGTATTATCCACCTTAGCTTTATTCTATTTATTTGAATGCCTTCTAAATGAGTGAGCCAGGTGCGGTTTTGGGCTGTTCCATGAGCAGTCTGGGACCTTGGCTGCCTCCATCTCCTGCTGGGGGATCCCTGCCCAGCCAGGTCATGTAGGAACAGCAGGGACAGGGTCGGGATCCACACCCAGTGCAACAAATTCCCACTGCTGGAAAACAGAGCTGAGAGCTTTTCCTGTTGGAAACCTGGAATGGCGGCATCTGTGCTGTGCTGCCCTGGCCCAGAGCTGTCATTTATCCTTTCCAATCCTTCCAAGTCTGTGCGATTATTGCTGTGCTTGCTGTTGGTGTTATTGTGAAGGATAAAGAAGTTTATCTCAAACCAGGAGGGGAGACAGAGATGTCCAGGAAGATATGTCCAGTTCCCCACACCAGAATGGTGCCTCGTCCTCTGGCTTATCCCCTCTGCTCCATTGTGCAGTCTCCTGCAATTAGAAGAGATGAAGAAATCTTAATTTCTAGTACTGTAAATGAGCACCTGGGGAAGTTATTTGTGCTTTGACTGTGGTAGGACTGAGATGACACACCTGCCCTGGGCTCAGCCTGTTCCAGATAAAGAAGTTTATCTCAAACCAGGGCAGCATCATGGATGGGAGACAGAGATGTGCAGGAAGATGTGTCACCAGTCCCCCACACCAGGAGGGTGCCTGGTCCAGCAAAGGAATGTACTGGGCAGCACAAACAGATTCTGGGCTGTATCTATGTCTCATTAGCTTTTCCAAGCAATTGCCTCTTCCATACAAAGAAAGGGACTTCGGGAATGCAGAGCTGCTCCTTTGCTGAGCTCCCAGAGCTGTGGTGTCCCATGGCAGCACTGTGGCTCCCACTGTGCTCTGTGAGGATCATCCCCTGCTCACTCCTCAGCCAGTGTTCCCCCTGGTTTCTGCTGTTCTCATTATTGCTGCTTAATGTCAAGGCTGTCCTCTGCCTCCTAACTCAGGCTGAAGCCACTGGACTGCAGTTGCCAAGGCAACAAAACATTTTATGTAGCTGTCCTACTTCGTACAGTTAAAAACTAAACAAACCTGAAGAAAGGGGCAGTTAGTGAAGGGCTGGGCTGAAGGGACACAGGGATTTTGCTGTGGGACAAAGGGCAAAACAGGGAGCAGTGATTGCAGGCTGGAAGCTGACACCACCCAAAAAACACCAGGCAGATGAGTTTCCTGGAAAGCTGCTTCAGGAGCTCAGAACTTTTATGAGGCATGAGCTGCATTGTGGTTATTTATTACTGCTCCTGAGAGCTCTGCAGAGCTGACAGCCCCAGTTAGAGCTGCCTTAAATAACCCACGACACTCACCAGGAGCTTGGCAGCTGTGTTAGCCAGGAGCCTGGCACTGCCCCATGGAGGGCTGGGGGTCCTGGGCCTCCATGGGCAGCACAATTTGAAGGTTGGGCGTCCATGGGCAGCACGCAATTTGAGGCTTGTACCCAGCAGCTGAGCTGCTCTTCTTTGAGTGGTCTGACCACGAGAAATTAACCATTCATAGGAACTTCAGGTGCTGCCCCAAATGCTTCTGACTGCATTTGTTTGAACAAAAGAGGGGGGAATAGGGTTTAGGAAGGAAGCTGGAGGTTTCTTGGCTGGTATTTTGGTGTTGAATAAAAGATGCAGAAAGAGTGAGCTAATACTGAGCTGGTCCTTATCCCTCCAGCTGTGCAGGCACAAAGCAGATCTATCTGCCAGCTCCTGGTTTTTTCTCCAGGTACTTGAGCTTAATTTGAAAATTAAGGTTAAATGCCCCACTGGATTTGTGGGGAGTGCAGGGCTCAGCTCAGGCTGCCATGGGTGATGCTGCTGGCGCTGAGCAAGTGTTGGGGTGTGATGGTGTTCACAGAGGTTCTTGAATGAGGGAAGAGATGAGGATCTGACTCCATGTTTCAGAAGGCTGATTTATTATTTTATGATATATATTACATTAAAACTATACTAAAAGAATAGAAGAAAAGGTTCTCAGAAGGCTGGCTAAGAATAGAAAAGGAAAGAATGATAACAAAGGTTTGTGGCTCAGACAGAGAGTCTGAGCCAGCTGACTGTGATTGGGCATTAATTCTAAACATCTACATGAGACCAATCACAGATGCACCTGTTGCATTCCACAGCAGCAGATAACCATTGTTTACATTTTGTTTCTGAGGCCTCTCAGCTTCTCAGGAGGAAAAATCGTAAGGAAAGGTTTTTTCATGAAAATATGTTTGTGACACCAATGGGTGTGTGGGTGCAAGGAGCAGAGGTGCTTTTGGCAGGGCAGAGAGCCCAGACTCAGGTTTGGGGTGGGTGTCAGCCATGGGCCAGCTGTGGGTTTATCACATGTGCCACAGTGAGAGCTGAGCTCTGAGCTCCTCTGCTCGGGCTGGCAGCCACAGAGGGCTGAGATCCAGCCCTGGTAATTGACAGTCTGCCTGTGTGGGGATAACCATTCCCACTTCCATACAGAAGAACTTTGTCTTCTCGCCTTCATTTTTGTCTCTTTGATCAGCCAGACCTCTCTGCCGCATCTAGAGCTCACAAATGTATCCCAGGGTTTTATAATCACTCATTTGCACTTTCATAGATGCTAATACATGGAAGGGTTTCCCTTTCAGACTCAGGCTTGCTGGTTAATTTCAGGATTTTTGCAGAGAGAGGACCCAGTCCTGCAGCCACCATTGGGGTAAAACCAATTCAATGGTCAAAATTAATTCTGAGGAGTTAAGAGTGGTCATGTCCAGTAGGGGAGGTGGCTCTGCAGCCTTTCCTGCACCACTCTCAGCCTTGACTTTAGGGAAGCCCAGATGGTTGATGTCCTGCTGAAGAGCAGAGGCAGCAGGCTTAGGCCTGGGCAGGCTCTTTCCTCTTTTCTTTCCTTTTTTTATTTTCAGAGACCACAGATGTCTCATTGGAACAGGGTATTTATCAACATAAGCTGCTTGGCTATTCAGGCATGAGCTGATCAAAATATTGTTAATATCATGCCTGGAGAAATGTCACCCTTTCCCATGGTTGCATTTACATCACTTCCCCCATCTATTTAAGAAGGTGTGAACAAACACTGACAGGCTGTTGTGGCTGAAGCTTGTCCCAGGGTCTGTGCGTCTGGCACAGCCAACACGTGGGGAGCTCTGGGGCTGCCTGGCCCAGCTCTGCCTGGGTCAGATTTAGTGCCAAGTGGTGTTTCTGTTTCTCCTGGGTGCTTCCAGCCTTGTCCCTGGGGCCAGCAGGTTGGGCCCCTTCTGCACATCCTTGATGGAACCCAGGACATTCCTTTGGAGGACTCAAGACCCTGTCAAGGGGCTCAGAGACCTTGGCAAGGAGTCAAAAACACCTGTGCCTTTGATTTTAGCCCATGGAAACAATTACCAACTTTGTGTGAGGAGTTACAAGCCACAAGAGTTTGAGTGGAATGAGAGTGAATTTGTCACAGGGTGAAAAAGTAGAATTTTGGGGATTTAGAATGGGGGTTCAAGGGGAAAGATGGAGGAATCTGGGTGTGTCCTGTCCTTCTCCTCCTTCTTCTCCTCCTTCTTCTCCTCCTGCATCTTCTGCTGTGATGGTGGCACTTTTGGATTGGTTTAGAGCAGAGACAGACTGTCTAACATAGGTGTTAGGTATTGGAAAATTACTGTAAATAAAGTGCAGGTAGTTTTTAGTATAAAAAGCCAACAGCACCCCAAGGGCAGGGACTGTGCCACAACCCGACCTGCTGGACAGATCTCAGCAGGTCAGGGAAATAATGGAATAGATAAGCGAAAATAAACAGCCTTGAAAAGCAGAACCAATGATTCTTGGCTTCTTCTTCAGTCACAAGGCTGGGAAAAAAGACTTTTAATACCTCAGGGGTCATCTCAATCACAGAAACCTGAGACATCCTCACTCAGGATGAAGGTGTTCTCTGACAGAAGATTGCCTGTAAATTTCTGGAAATTAAAATGTGTTGTATTGTGCACTTCACACCCAAGCCAAATGATTTTGTTGTACAGTAACAGTAATACTTGGAAGTAGTAACATTTCCATTTGCTTTTTGCAGTGTATAGTGGGTTATGGTAAAGGAGCCTTTAGAGCAGTAACAGCTCCAGAAGATGAATAATTACAAAAGGTAGATGGAATTGATAGGCATTTTAATTTGTCATAGTTTCACTTCCAGGGAGCAGCTGAATAATTACACTGCCTGTGAAGAAAGGGAATGTAATACTTCCCCTCATTATAGATCTGACTTGTCTCCCTTCCCTTTTAATGTAAGCGAAAATGAAGATATCTCTGATATCTTCTGTTTTGATCATCATTTGAAAGCCCCAGAACAGCCTGTATAGCTCTGTGTTGTGGTGTGGGGTGTACAGATTAATCATTTTAATGTAAAACCCAAACACTGGGTTAATTGCTCAAAGCACAAACCTGAGCTTGCCAATGCCAATTCCAGTGAGGAATTCCTCATCAGCTGAGGAGGCGAATTGGGCAGGATTTGTGAGGCTCTTAAATTCAAATTTAAGACCTAAAGAAAGGAGACTTTTTCCAATTTGCTGTTGTGGTTTTCTTTCATAAAACACACCAGGATGGAGCGTGACTTGGGCTTCTTTTCTCTCTTGCAGCCTGAAGAACCAATAGTGGCTCATCAGTGGAGAAGAGGACAAGCACTAATGCTGCTTCTGTGGAGGGGAGCAGGCCAGCAGGAGAGGAAGCTTTCTTGGACAGTGATCCTATGTGGATTCAATAATTAACATGTAACTAACCTTTGCATTGGACAAGTACATGGATTTTCTTTTTTTTTTAATTTTGTGGTGAGTTAAAATATTTCGATGGATTTTTTTACCCTTTCAAGACAATATTTATTCAGCACAGAGTCTAGAGTATGATAACTATCCTGTAAATACAGCACTTACTCATCAGTCATCTTCAGGGACAGTGGAAACAAACTATTTTACTTTTTCATATTTATTCCTAGATTTCTCCCAAGAGTATAAGATTATTCTACTACATTATCCATGATAGTGATGTAATCAGTCTTCAATCAGAAATAAACACACTTTCTTCACCTTCTCCAGCATGGTTTGTGTCAACACACACAGAGCAGCAACAGTGAATCGTGGGGATTGTGTAATGGATGAGTTCCTTCCTTCCCTCTTTGTCTCTAAAGAAACAAATGGGTTCCATGAGTAAAGCACACTGCAAAAGAAAGTGTGAATTTTTTTTCCTGCTGGTAGGATTCCTGCAGGCTCAGCAGAAGCTGTTTGCTTTACTGACTTTGCTGCGAGGCCGGACGCTGCAGGTGCCCACCAGAGCCTTGGCACAGGCTGGGCTGGCCAGGCCCTCCCAGGTAAGGCTGGTGCCCTGTGCACCTGCAGGGAGAGGGGGTAGCCAGCACTGACCCAGCTGTGCCCTGCAGCAGCTCATCCTGCTTTGGGCACCTGAGCAGAGAAGGAGCTGAGTGTGAGGAGAGCCCTGCAGTGCTCTGCACCTGGGGCTGCCACAGCTCTGCTGGCCAGGAGCCCCAGCCCTGAGCTGTCCCTGAGCTGCCTCTGGCCTGTCCCTGAGCCCCTGGGCTGTCCCTGAGGGGCTAAACCCAAATAAGGGGATATGGGCAGTGCTAAAACCCAAGTAAGGGAATGTGGGTGTGACTAAACCCAAATAAGGGAATGTAGGAGTGGCTTAAACCCAAATAAGGAAATGTGGGCAGGGCTAAACCCAAATAAGGGGATTTGGGAGGGGCTAAACCCAAATAAGGGAATGTGGGAAGGGCTAAACCCAAATAAGGGGATTTGGGAGGGGCTAAAGCCAAATAAGGGAATGTAGGAGTGGCTTAAACCCAAATAAGGGGATGTGGGCAGCGCTAAACCCAAATAAGGAAATATGGGTGTGCTAAACCCAAGTAAGGAAATGTGGGAGGGGCTAAACCCAAATAAGGAAACGTGGGAGGTGCTAAACCCAAAAAAGGGAATGTGGGTGTGACTAAACCCACATAAGGGAGTGTAGGAGTGGCTTAAACCCAAATAAGGAAATGTGGCAGGGGCTAAATCCAAATAAGGGAATGTGGGCAGGGCTAAACCCAAATAAGGAAATATGGGTGGGGCTAAAGCCAAATAAGGAAATGTGGGAGGGCTAACCTCAAATAAGGTAATGTGGGAGGTGCTAAACCCAAGTAAGGGAATGTGGGAGGGGCTAAATCCAAATAAGGAAATATGGGAGGGACTAAATACAAATAAGGGAATGTGGGCAGGGCTAAACCCAAATAAGGAAATGTGGGTAGGCTAAAGCCAAATAAGGAAATGTGGGAGGGCTAAAACCCAAATAAGGGGATGTGGGTGGGGCAAAGTCCATCTAAGGGAATTTTACCCCTTTTTCTCCTATTTTATTTCCATTTTCCCCCAATTCTCCCCAGTTTTTTTCCTGGTTTTTTTCCCAATTTTCCCCCAATTTTTATTCCCATTTTCCTCCCAATTTTATTCCAATTTTCTTCTTATTTTATTCCTATTTTTCCCCAATTTTTCCCTTTTTCTCCCCAATTTTTCCCCCAGTTTATTCCCATTTTCCAGCAATTTTCCCCCAATTTTTGCTGATTTTCCCCCAGTTTTTCCCATTTTCCTGCCATTTTTTCCCCTTGAGCCCCTGGGCTGTCCCTGAGCCTCCAGAGCTGTGGAGGGACAGCCTGGGTGCACTGCAGCATCACCTCCTCCCCTCTTTGGGGACACTCAGAGGCACTGCAGAAGCTCTGTGTGATTAATTTGTGCTCTTGCATCGATGCCTTTCATGTGTGGAGGAGAATGGGTTTTTCACAGATGAGTAAACATCTCCTTGGGTTTCATAGCTGTGGGGTGGTTTCATTTATTGTGTTTTGGGTAATAACACGAGCTGCCAGTGTTCCTGAAGCTAAACTGCCTCTTTACAGAGAGAATGATTTACAAAAATAGGGCACATCACTCATGTGGGTTCAAGCCTGACTTTTCCAAGCCTCCTTTCCCCAAAGGAGCCCTCCCCCAAGCAGCATCCAGGGTGCTGCAGAGGCGTTTTTGTCAGGAGACAAGTCCAAAAATCTGTGTGCTCTAGTAATCACTACCAGCTAATTGCAGCAAATTAATTACAGCACAAACACAATTTCTTTCCCCAGGCAGGCATGGAGAGAGCTCTGCAGTGAGCTGGGCTGGACCCAGGCTCTGCTAGGCTGGCTGTTCTCCCTGGGGTGTTCAGGTGTCACTCTGGTGTCTCAAGGCACTGCAGAGCAGGCTCAGCTCTGCTGATGGGATTCTCACCCCACAGCATCTGGCCCAGGTGAGTGGGAGGCAGGTGAGCTGTCCCATCACACCCCTGGAGGGACAGGGCAGCACAATATTTCCATTTGTTGCCAATATTGTCCAGGTCTTTGGTCCCTAAATCCTTTTAATCTGTTGCTTTTCCTAAGTTCATTAGGCTTTCAAAGGAAGACACAAAAAGAGAAATCTCCTGATGGTAAGTCAGTGATCCTTGTAGAAGTGACGCCAGATCTCTGAGGTCAAGCCTGGTCCAATGGCCCCAGGCTGAAATGTGTGAGAGGATGTGTTAGAAAGCTTTGAAAATGCTTCAGTGCAACCACTGCATCCCTCTGGGTTACTTTAAACTGAAGGGTGAAAACATTTGAGTATATTTTCTTCATTAAAAAAAAAAAAACAACCATAAACACACTCAGCATTTTTCATGCAGTACATCTATAGGTAACCAATTTGATTTTTGTCTGTTCTGGCCAAATGTTTCACTGGTTTAAAATGCTGTGCAAGATAGTCTGTAAAGAAAGTAAATCTCAATAATAGATCTTCAGTGTGGTTGGGTCTCTCCCCAGACTCACTTTACAGTCAGTGCTAACTGGAATGCAGGAGGCACTGGGAGACAGCTGCAAGGAAATGTGATGTTTTAGAAGTGTTTCATTAATGTGGCCCTACTGAGGCAGCTCTCCAGAGTCTGCTGTGACTCGGGTTGTGTTTCAGGGCCAGGACACTGACTTCCAGTGGTGCTTTATGCTCAGTCACAGCCCAAAACAAATAATATGTGGTTTTATCTGGCTCCTTATGTGGCGGCAATGGAGCTCTATGGCAACAGGGTGTAACCTGAGGCAGCCCTGAGGCAGCAGCTCCATACAGAGATTAATCGTGGCAGAGGAATGCTCCTGCTACCTAAGTGGTGCTTCCTTTGTGAAGTTCCTATTGCATCAACTTCATTAGCAAGTCCTGACCTTTAAAACCACCTTCCATAAGCTTCAAACGAAGTATGTGGAAGTCTGGTTCTTCCTCTGGGCTGCACCTGCCTGAGGTCAGGGACCTGAGCAGCTGCAAGAGGCTGTGGGGAGTGCCCAGGGCTGGAGTGGGGCTGGGGACAAGCAGGACCCACTTTGGGGGTTAAATGAGAGCTCCAGAGAGAAACAAATGTCCATTAACCCTGCGGTGTGCTCCTGCTGAAGTTCCTGCAGGAGAAATTCAGTAGTGGGGCACTGCTCCCTCATTGAACCCTGGCACCCACTCGCAGGTCTCTGACAAAAGCCTTTGTCTAACACGTTTTTAATCAGTGTGTGCATTTCAATTTGCATATTAATAGCAAAGAGCTGGTATTACAGCTGCTGTTGATGAGATGGTGTCAAGCCCATCTTCCCATCTGAGGAGAGAAAGGAACTGCATCTATTATGTGGAGAATGACTTTGGCAGAAAACATGTCTGAGAATCGTCCATTCTTTGTCTCCATCTTCCTTTATCTCTGCCTTTATTTTGCTCTTAATGGCTCATATAGATGCATTCATTAAGCTGCTTTTTTCCCCCTTAGAACAAGGATCATTTAACAAGAGCCTGGGACAGGATTTTGTGCCTGTTGTGACAGCTCCAAGCTAAATACAGCAGTCTTGTTCAGTGCCTTTGACTTTTGTAAAATGACAAAAGGTGGCCCCGCTCTGGGAGCCATTTTTTGCAGCTGACCCAGAAGAATAATTAACATTATGGCAGTGCTCTCCAGGTTCCAGCCTTCCACAGCTCCACAGTGTTGGCTTCCCAGTGCCAGTGAGGCAAAGTGGAAATTTTTCAGGGTGGAAATCCATTTTGATTTAGGTGAAATGTTCATTTTTGAGTTGAGTCTGTGGTTAGAAACCATAGCTATTTAGCCTGACTGCAGAACCTAGGCTCAGAGAAACTGCTTCAGTGAAGGACAGAGATAAGGAGGGGAGACAGAGGGTGATGGAGAGAGACAGAGACTGCTGTGAGAGCAGCTCAACCTGACCTAAGAGTTCTTTCTGATAAAGAAGAACTAGCAGCAAATGTCATGTGAAATTCGTAAAAATGAATATGTATGAACCTATTGTGAAATTGTATGCATATGTATCTGAGAGGGGGATAAAAAGGGACCTGAAGTTCCCAAAAGTACACATGTCATTTTAGGGGAATGATTCCCACATGCCTCCAGCGCTGTAATAAACATCCCGGCTTTACAACTTTCACAAAAGTTGTGGAGTTTTTGGCTGTATCTCCACAAAACACCAGACGGGGCTGTGGTGGTGCTGGTGGCACAGGAGGCAGATGGAGCAGGGCTGCTGCTCCTCAGAGGATGCACAGGAGGGCTGGGATGAGGGAGAGCTCATGGCATGGCTCAAACAGTGATAAAGGAGAGCTATGGAAATAGAAAATGCCAAGAAAAAGCCCTGAGGAAAAAGCATTGCGCTCCATGAAATGAGCTGGAGGAAGAGCTGCAGTGCTGCACACACACATTTGTTGAGGGCAGTGCTGCTCTGAACAGACTGACAACCTCAGCTCACCCACTGCTGCCAATTCAACAGCTTCTCCTCATGAGGAAATTGTTATCTGTGCTGGGGAATGTGGAACCCAGCAGGTGCACAGGATTCAATAACAGAAAAGCATCTTTGCCAGTGCCAAAAATGTGGTGGTGCAATGTCAAGGCACCCTTGGGTGGGTGCTGTGAGGATGCTGCCTTTGTGTTTGGGAGCACAGGGATGGAGAGCTTTGTGCCACTGGGCCCCTCGGTTGGGGTGGCCAGGAGCAGGGCTGTGGATGGAACTGGAGCCTCTTCCCTCAGAA